ATGGCGACGTTCTGACACTTATTCCAGTTGAAGACATTTCGAGACCTAGACCGGTTCAGTTAATCGACCCTAAGATTCTCTGTTGTTATCCAGTCAAAGGCCTTCTCTAGCCCAGCTAAATCGACTCCCAACAGATTTTTCTGATAAAGACTCAGTAGAAGTCTCTTATGGTTCCCTCTCCGACGGCGAGTGAGGTGGTAAGTCCTTTTTCAGATGTTTCCCTCTCCGATGGTGAGTGCGAGGTGATAATTCCTTTTCAGATGTTTTCCTCTCCGACGGTGAGTGAGGTGATGACTCCTTTCAGATTATAATTTCCTATAGTTCCCTCTCCGACGGTGAGTGAGGTGACTCCCTCTAAGATTATAATGTCCTTTGGTTCTCTTCCCGATACTACGAAGATAGTAATTCCCGCCAAGATTTTCTCAACGAGCGTTGTTGAAGTTAAAGTCACTCAAGGTTCTCTTACCGTTCATGCTAAGGTAGTAACCATCCCTGGTTCATTCATCATCTTGTGAAGCTCCAGATCCAGCTCCTGCAACCAGTCAGGACACATCTATATCAAGCATCTGAAATCAGCTCCTGCAACGTGTTAGGTACTCATGTTTCTTTTGCAGATATGCAGGTTCTCGCTAAGGAATCTCTTACGCGATCAACATCCAGATGGCATCTATAAGCCTATCATCCTATCCAGCAATCTCCCAAATGGCATCTATAAGCCCATTCCCCACCATCACTGCTACTACGTGAGTGCAAATTTCTGGGCACTCTAGTGTTCAATCATCTTCTACCCTCAGATTACGAAAGGCACATCAGCCAATCTGCATCCTCAGGTCTAAGAAGATTGAACAGGGGCAACTGTTGTACCCCAAAATTTGCCCTCCCATATTCTCCAAGAAATTGCCAAGCCAAGCTTCAAAATTCCCCAAGGGTTGCACAGTCAAAGAGCCTCCTATACAGTCAAACTAGGGTTTTGGTTCTGATCAAGAAAATGAAGTTTCAAAGGGCCCAATCAAGTCCCACATGCCTATAAATAGGGTCAAGCATCCTCATATCAAGTTTCAAGACTTTCAGCACAAAATTGCACAGTCAAAACCCTAATTGCACTACAGTCAACTGTAGGGGAAAAATGGTCATTTGGCAGTCAAAAGTTCAAATTTTTGGTCAACATCTCATTTTGAAGCCACAAACATCATTTTATCAATGCTTGATCATGATTCTCAAAACTTGGCTCAAAAATCATCAAGATGCAAAAGCTTCTATTTTGGACAGCTGGAAAAGTCAACTGAAATTGACCAAGGCATAACTTTCACATGGATTATCAGAAAAATTCCATCCAAAGCTCATTTTGAAGAGAAAGACATTTCCTACAACTCATATTCATACTTCAAGTCCAAGAAATGCTCTCACAAAAAGTTATCAATTTCAACATTATAGGTCATTTTCAAAAGTCAACAAAAAAGGACTTTAAGTCAAAGGCCATAACTTGAGATTGGTAAATCAAAATGACATGGGACCAAAGACATTGTTTAGAGGACTTCAAGACCTTTCTAAAATGTCCAAGAACATGAGCAAAGCTTAAAAATTGGGCAAGTTATGCATTGGAGAAGTTGGGAAATTTTTGTGAAATGGCCAAAATCATTTATCCTTGAAATCTCATTTTTGACAAAAGGGGCCCACTTTTTCCACTTGAATTGACTTGGCCATGCTTCCCACGTGTCCCATCTTTTATTTCATATTTTTTTATTAATTTTTTCATTTTTATTGATTTTATTGGATTTAATTAATTTTAAATCTTTTAAAATCAAAAGAAATTCAAAAAAATTAATTTAAAGGGATATTTTGCTTTGATTAACCTTGAAGCATCATTATGTGCCTACCATTTTTCGTGCTAAGGCTTAAACAAGGCAAAAATTCAAATTTGAATCAAAAGTGGAAAGTGTGATAATGGTGGTTTATGCCAAATCCTAAACATCAATGCAAGGCATTATTGGCCATAATTTTCATTCATACACATTGCATAAGACATGTACAAGTGAAAGTGTCCAGGTTCATTCAAGAGACATGCATATTTCAAAAAAGGAAAACTTTCAATGTGTCTGATTCTTGTCTCATGGCATTAAAGGCCTGGTTAAATGGCTGTCTCTTACCGTTACAAGACCCTCACACTCCTATAAATACAAGAGCCAGTGGCACATTACAAAAAATGGAAAAAACACACAACGGGAGAACGAAAGAAACATTGGAGAGAGGCTGCCCACAAAATCCATCAAAGGTTGCCAGAATTTTCCAAGCAAAGCCACCCTTCAGCAAAAGTAGCCAAGCCCAGAAGCCCAGATCGAAGGTGCCTAGGAAGCGCCCAAATCGAAGGTCCAATCTACTGGTAAGAGAGGGTAAACTGTCCAACCTTGTATTTGCATTACACATTCGTGCTTGTTGTTACCTTCAATTTACTATCCTAGACAGGATCAAAGGGCCTGGGTTTGGCCCCAGGTCATGTTCTTCGTTTGCTAACATTTGCTGCAGATTTATCCTGAAAAGACTCAGCGCACGTAGGATCGAAGGGCCTGGGGTTCGATACCAGGCCCTGAGTTTATTTTGCTAACATACTTTTGCAGGTATAGCATCCCAGATCGAAGGAGACACCTTCTCTGGATCGAAGCTTCCCAGGCCTCCAGAATTATGCTTTTTTTATTTGCTGCCTGTTTCCGTCGTTTTTCTTATACTTATTTTGACTATTTTTATTTCTTTTTTTTAATCAACATAAAATCAAAAAACACAAAAAAATCAGAAAAGACAAAAAATAAATAATAATTTTATTTTAGTATTAATTTTGTAAATAAATCCCTTAATTAATTTAGATTTAATTTTAGGTTATAATTTAATTCTTTTTTTTACAATAAACCAAAAATAATAAAAATAGATCTCTAACACTTTTTTACCCTTTTTAATTAATTAAATACTTTATCATCAACCATTAATTTTGTAAATAAATTTGTATATAATTAATTTAGTTTAAATTCTAGGTTTCAACTTTAATGCATTTTCTTTAATAAATTAAAAAAACAATTAGAATTAGAATTAATTATTTAACTTTTAATTAATTTAATTTTCCTTTAAGGTCATAAATACAAAAACATAAAAAAACAAGTTCCTTCTTTTTATTTATTTTAATTATTCTATTAATTTAATTTTAATTACTTTGAAGGGTCCAACGCCCTCGCATTCGGTCATATTTTCCTTTTTCGCGCGTTTTATTTATTTTTGACGTAAATATAATGTACTTGTACCAAAGCCATGTAATAGTTCTTAGACATTTATTTTCTGCAATTTATTTTAAATCGGGTCTGGATTAATTTGGCGTTGTAGACCCGCGCCGTTGTAATAGCGTAGGACTTTTATTCTTTCCGCACTTTAAATTCCCGCACCTTTAATTGCTAAACAATAACATGAAAGAATGAATGCCCAAAAATAAAAACAAACGTAGATCACCAATGCATGACAAGACAAACAATAAACTGAAAATGACACACAATTCACACACCACCCCTAGGATACGCTTCACTGTTGCCTGGCCCCTCGAAAGGTGGTCGTCGAGTAGAGGATGTCTTAGTAAGTCCTCATGATCCAGGAACCTGGCATGAGGGTAGCTTCTAAGGTGTCTTCCCATTGCTCTGGTGATCACCATGTCCCTACAAACTCGAATTGACCCGAACACCTCCAACGGTGGTGCTACCTACCTCTCAATGGTGGGATGGCACTACCTAAAGGACAATTACACAGCTTTATTCCTTAGGGTAGGTAGATTCTCATAGATACTTGCTCATCTCAAAAACAAACAAAATACTTTTCACACCTACACTTTCTAAAAGTTTTCAAACAAATTTTTCATACACTCTTGAGGACAGATACAAGAGTTACTTAGAAATTTTTCAAACGAAACTTTTTCAAAACCCACTCACAATTGAAAAGCGAACATTTTGAAAACACAATGAGCAAGTATCTAAGAGCCCATGGATAACCATGGATAGAAAGGGTGCTAACACCTTCCCTTTCTATAAATCTACCTCCCGAACCGAGAACTAATCTCAATAAGGAATTTTTCTGTGCTTTTGTCCTTTCCATGTTGGAGAAACACTACAAGAAAATTGGCAGATTGCGACAGGTATTTTTGTAGATTACGACGGTTAAAACCGTCACAATTTGCTTTCCACGACGGTTGCTTTACCGTCGCAGAAGTGTGTGTCCCCAACCTATTTCGCGACGGTTACAAAAACTGTCGTTCAAGTTTACGACGGGTTGATACCGTCGTGACTATCTATTGAGTTTCTTTTAATTATTGATGGCGACGGTTCGATACTGTCGTGAATATCTTTTGAAATTGATTAAATTGTTTATGGCGACGGTTCGATACCGTCATGACTTTTGTTGATTATTTTTAATTGTTGATTACGACGGTTCGGTACTGCCGCCATGACTTTTGTTTATGTCTTGATTTTTTTTTATTTTTCTATTATATATATTTTTTATTTAAATTATTATCTATGTAAAAAAATTTAAATATAGTTTTTTTTTGTGTTATTTTTTTCTTTAAATTATTTCTTCTTTAATATATTTATTTATAGTATCATTTTTTGTTTTATTTTCTATCACTTTGTAATATAGTAAAAATAATTTCAACTATCTCACCAATTCGGCTGTTCGAATCATGTCATGATGACCTGTTGAGCGAAGTGCCCAGAGTAGGATAAAGAAAAGATGTAACAAAGTTTCTTACTATACATCAAAAGCACAGAATGATAAAAATGGCACTAGAGTTTCACCTATTGAAGAAAAAAAGTAACTTCATATGATTGAAAAACAACATATCTAAAAACCAACACTTGACAACTACTAGATAACTGATAAAAAACTATAGTCCTAAAATAGAACCTTAATGAAAAAGTAATAACCACCCAACATAAAGTCTTCAACACAATAATCATCTGAACATAACAACAATGTTAACTGATAATCTTATAGAAATTGATTGAATTTCGTGCAAAGAGGTCTTTTGCAGCTTCCACAGCCTCTGAAACAGTGAGATCGCCATCAATGCACGAGTCACGCAGAACTGTGAAAACAACTTTGCGGGCATTTTTCGCACCTGTCACAACAAAACTCGTGATTTTAACCAATAATCTTCACAGAGTATAATCTTTGAAATTAAGTAACATAATAATCGATGTTAAACCAACCTAAGTAGAAGAGTTCAGGAAAGGCATAAGCATCAGTACTAAACATCACCTGCAATAATACAAAGTTTACCCTTTATGAATTTAACAAAAGGTAATAAAAAACAGTACTTTCTGAATTTCTTATAGTGTCACCTTATTTAATGGTGCTTGCTCTAAAAGATCTTTCACTGCAGAAACCATGCCATGAACACTAAGCTTTGGAATAGCCAACCCAAAATCAAGATAAACCTGAATAAGAAGATTGTGTTATTTGCTCTATAATCAAGTGCTAATATAAATTCGAACAAACTAACGCAAGTGACTGAGTTGCGAATTGTTTGCCTGGGAGTAGAGAGAAGCTAGATATGATGCTTCCTTTGAGAATGGATATGATGTATGTAAAAGAACAATCCTACACTTTGCAAATCTCTTGTCCTCAAGAATATTGTGGAGATAAAGAGGATTGGACATTCTCAGATTCAAACCTCTATCTCCAAATCTGATTAATTTTACAAAGTAAAGTTTATGGTAAATTCATCTAAAAATGTATAGAAATCAATAATTTGAAAGCATGCATTACCCTGTGTGTATCTGCATTGGCAAGTCATGTGATTGAGCAAATTCTAAACTTATCAAATAGATGAGATTACCTTGCTAAAGTTATATCACTTGATTGAAGACTTGCAGTTGAGATAGTAAGCAGGCCAGAACAATCGATGTCAGCGCAAAAGTAGCAGTTGTAAATGCAGAAATCACAGAAGAAATAAGAGGTACTGAGTCTGCATGATTCATGAAATCGTAAATATGTATAAATGAGTAGATTTTTTTAAGAAAAACTTGCATCTAACAAATGAAAATAAAAATTTTGATTACTAGTATCGAAAATCTTACAGTGCCTCACTTGTAGAACATTGGAAGCTAGATTTTTGTTTCCGGAAACATCACGAGTTACGTTCTCGGGAACACTGACGAATACCAAATCATCATCCGCTTGTAGCTCAAGAATGTATGTGCTCCATCTAAGTTTGTGAAAGCTAGACAGAAATGAAAAGTTGCAAGAGAAAAAAATCAATTATCAATTTGCTTTTGACTTTTCATTTTTCAGTGAATCAATGTTACACTTGCCTTTTTAATAAACCTCCTGAAATTGATACGCGGGAGTTATTGAATCCAAAAACAGGCTTTGAAAATTCGATTAATATTTGTATATTGTGATCTTTTGTCCTCATTCTATGTGTACTTAACATCACCGCAGGCCTCTTAGAATCTGAATTCCATGAAAATATTAGCTTATAAATCCAAACAGTGTTTACTTGGTGAGTAAGTAACATCATTAATATGTACCATAGAGAAAATTAACCGGCGCAGTTGGAGAAACATGAGTCCCTTGTCTGGTTATTATAGATTTCAAATTGAATTCAACCGAGACTATAGCAGTGGAGGAGATATTAGCAATCTGCATTAACAATTAGTCGGAAAAAAGTTGTGTAAGGAGAAGAGATACAGTTGAAAAGCATTCATATGATCACATCCAAGAATTAACAAACCATGAATCCGAATCTACGATTTCCAAGATTTTCTGCACTAGTTGGAACGAGTGAACCACGACTAATGTTGAGAGAACTCATAACTTCCATAGATGAATTTACAATTGGAGACGAGAAGTACAAATACACCTTTAGCTTGTTAAGGTCATTAGTTGCCTGAATTGTTCTAGTTTCACTGTTAATTCGAAGTAGCTTTTCAGGTACACGAGTCCTGATGTTGACATAAACCTTTCTTCTGTCTGTGGATCATATTTTCGAACATCAAATCCTCGTGAATTACTAATTATATCCAGTACTAATACCGCTAGAATGACAGAAGAAAGATAGCACTCACCAATATGTAGATGAACACTCGAATTCGCCATTCTTGTAAAGCTGTTACCAGCTATGTCAGTACAGAAACTCCTATCCATTACCAGGATTGCTCGGCCGTATTGAACGGTAGGAGATAAACTAACAAGAAGAGAATACATGAGGTTTGGCTTCAGAACTCTAAAGGAAGATGGTACAACCTGGCCAGCACCATAGACAAGAAGCTGCAAAGAAATATAACAGCAAGAAGTTAAAAATGGATCTAATATTATGGTAACACAGTACTCGCTCCGTCTTGTTTTGAGAAATCTAAGCAATTGTAGATGGACATATGCTTACATTGCAGGCATTCACAGACTTGCATCCAAAACCTTCACCTATACACGGTTCGGTGAAAGATATATTTACCGAAACATTTGAAGAACTTGTGAAAGTTGTTGAGGCTGTAACATATGCTGTTGGTGGAATTGTGTCTGAAAAAGTTAAAAATGATTTTTATCACTCCAAAGACACAAAAGCATGTAAAAGGCCAAATTCATCGGCAATAACAGACTGATAAATAAAAACATAGGAATGAAGTATGGTTTCTTAACCAACAGTCCAGTTGTAGCTAGCACAGCCCACAAAACTATGATTTCCATTGGTGCAGACTTCAAAACCATGATTTCCATCTTGCAAGCTTGAGTATGTAACTCTCCCGTTCGTGCAAACTGACGCGACCCCATCATCAAGCTGCACACATAGTAAGCTTAAAAACAAAACAACTTATTGGCCTAAATATCGACGAAACCATTAGAAAGTTACAAACTAAACATAATCTTACAGAAACTTAGTGGCATACAAACCTTACAACTGAGGCTGCAATTTGAGCAAGTACGGTTACTACCAGAATTAAGAACTTCAAAAGCAAATGTTGCTGAATTCAAGTGAGAAAATGCATGAGGTGCTTTCAAGAATTTCAGAGTTACATCTGAACTTCCACATTTGGTAATGGAACAAAGTGTTGATAAAACCAAACAGAATATAAACAAACGTAATACTCTAAGCAGAATCATTTGTTTTGAAACACAGTTTGTGAATTGGTGCCAGTTATGTGTGAGACAGTGTTGTTATTGTGTAGTAGTTGGATTTTAGCATGAAAGAGAGGTCATAGAGACAAATTTGATGAATTAATTTCGTTAAGATAGTGTACCATAAATGATGGGTTTGAGTGTCTTCAATATTTCACATTTTAGTGGTTATTATATAGTCATTGCATTATGGATAAGTCAGTGAACTTTGAGTGCATTGTGTGCCTCTGAATTGTGGCCGTTGCCGCGTGTTACACTCATACGATATTAATTTATATATAACACTCATACTTCTCGATCTAACGGATCATAATTTACTAATGATAAAACTGTAAGGGTCTATGTAGACGCAATGTTATATCACTTGATAAATAATTGAAGTTGAAGGAAACAACAAACACCATAAATGTAACTTAAAATTCTTGGTATGAACATGAAAATCAACATGAAAATCAATGGATAAATAAAAAGAAAGAAAATGTTAGTCCAATTGAGTGATGGTCCCACAAAAAGATAAAAGAGAAGCAAAGACAAAAACATGAATGGAGACTAGAGATGTTTTATTCTGTGACAATCACATAGTGACAAAATGATTTGAGAATGCGATATAAAATTTCTACTGAGCTCAACCTTAGAAATATTATCCCTCATGTCCCGTTTCTTTCTATAATAATCTTATCATAGTAGAACTCTACTCTCCCATGCCATAGACATAAAAGTATTAATGCAATCACTCACATTCAGATCTCCTATAAAATTGAGAAAAACAATTACCACCATAAAATTTATATATATAGCGTGTCAGATGAGAACTGATATCACGGGTAATTTACTTGATCTCGAATCTTTCAAGCTTTCTGTTCTATGTCACGGGTAATTTACTTGCTAAAGTTTCCTACATGTGAGATTGTTCCAAAGTTTCCTACAGTATCTGAAGTAATCCTTGTTCCCTTTCAGCACCTCCCTATGTAATTTATGGACAATTAGAGTTTAATTGGACAGAAAAAAGTGACCACCAACAACACCATTATTTTATAGGACACCTCACTTGTCAATGTTGATTATTGTCAGTTAGAGATAAAACACTGACATCAGTTCTAGAACAATTGAGATTTCAAAATTAATAATGTAGTTTAGTTCTATAATGTGAATGATTAAGTGGTTAACTTTATCTTCAGGACCTTTGACAATAATGGAATAAAGTTTAATAACTTGGGTGAAAGCAATATAAAGCAAAAACTGTTCATATGCATCAATTTCTAGATGAAAACCTTTATCTTCTCTATAACCCTAATTTTCATCAAGCAAAGTTACATTAAGATAAAATTATAGCTAACACAATAAGGGTTTTTGCTTCTGAATTGAATCATAGAAAAAAGAAACATAACCTGTTTGATAGCACTGGAAACAGAGAGAGTGGTGCTTTGATTGAGGCATTCAACACCAATCCAATCTATGAAGCCTAAGAGATCAACCTAATCAAGAGTATATGAACTAGGTTAGAACTTGTGTACCCTAAATCAAATAAGATAAACTTGACGATGATCATAATAGTGAATGATAGAGTTTGAATCTTACTTGACCCTTGTGAATAGCGGTGGCGGATTCTCCAGACATTGCTGCTGATTTGTGCGACACGGAATACCTTCTTTGTGCGACTTCAAAGAGAGATCTTCCCCTTTGCTTAGCAATCGAAGGAGGCCAGTACGAAGACCTCTAGAGGACATTTGATGCTTTCGATTGGATATCTCAGATCTGACACGTAGTCGTCTTTATGTACAAAGGAGTTTGTGATTCTGAAAAGAAAAGGAAATTGCGGTAGAATTTGAGAATCTTAGCGCGTGAATTGAAAGAACGTTACGATAGGTTGAGAACGATCATAAATCTGAGCGGGGTCGGTTCTTAAACCGTCGTGGGATATGATACGTTCCAGCCAAAGGGACGGTGAAAGGAACCGTCGTGGGATATGCTATAATTCTATTTTTTATTGAATATATATTGACATTACTATTATATTATTTAAATACTACTAATATTAATATAGTTACTATTATATTATATAACTACTATTAATATAATTAATAGTTAGTAAGTAATATTATAATACTAATATTATAATTAATTAATTACTATTATTATATTTAATTAATAAAAGTGAAAAGATGGAAAAATAAAACAAATGGAAAAAGTGAGAAAATAAAATAATAACAAAATAATAATTATGATTGGTCAAAGTAGTCGCGACAATCTGTTATACTGGTCGCGAGTGTGGAAAGAGGGCAGTTCTTTGGCAACTGTCTCAATTATGTTACTCAATATGCTTAAAAATCTACGACGGTTGGCTCTAACTGTCGTGACAACTGTCGCAGTCCAAGAATAAGGACAGATTTATGGGAACCGTCGCAACTCATGTGTCGTAAAACTCATTTTTTCTTGTAGTGAAAATAAAAGACGGTGGCGACTCTTGCTTACCGCGACATTTCGCGAAACCAGCTTTAAACAGTCAGTTCCAGATCCACCGATCACAATAACGTTATTTCCTTTTTGAGAAGATCTTGTCTTGGATAAAGCCGTTGGTAATTAATTCTGTCTTAAATACATAGTAACGCTTCAGAGTCTTCTGCTTTAAACTTATGCTGACGCTTCTGAGTGTTGATGACTTGGTAAAGATCTTTAATCAGAGTCAGAGTGTTTTATACGCAGATTCTGGTCATCAAGCTTCAGCGTATGATCTGGTAGCTTCAGCGTATAGCACATGTTACTGATATGATCTTCTGATGCTGATATGATCTTCTGATGCTTCTGATGCTGATTCCATCAGAACTTCTGTATATACAAAACATAATTTAAGAAGCATATTTGTCTTATATATAAATCTTACAATTTATTTATTCTTTGTATTTTGTTATCATCAAAACTCTAATTAAGGGTTGTAGAATCAAACTATGTTCTAACAATCTCCCCCTTTTTGATGATGACAAAAACCAGATTTTTTCAATTAAAAATAAAGAATAAAAGGTATCAGAGCTAAGAAGAGAAAACTCCCCCTGAGTTGATTACTTCCCTTTAATTCCATGAGTCTTTGAGCATCAGAACTTTACTGTATCTTTCCTCAGAGTTTTGTACCTGTAAGATTTTCAGAAGAGAGAAATTTTAAATAGATCAGAATGTTTGAGACTTATGTCTCAGTAATCCGTTATTGAAAAAATATCATTCTTTCTCCCCCTTTTTGCCAGTTATCAAAAAGCACAAATAATCAGAGTCAAAAATGCATTTATATTGAAAAACAGAAGCAATGATAAGTTCAAAATAGCAGTAATGTACGAATATTACAAAAAAACATGTTTTAAAAACAGGAAAATTCTAAGAGGAAGGAGGAAGTCGTGTGAACAAGGCCTCCAACATGCTCTTGATCTGGGTGTTTGTTTCCTATTGTTGGGTTAACATTCTTGCTATTGCATCAATTTTGTTGTCCTGCTTATCCATTCTCTCCTGCATCAACATATCAGATCTTTTCAAGTCTTCTAGAGTCTGCCTGTCAAGGGAGGAAGCTTGAGGATCTTCAGAAACAAGATGCTTCTCAGAGCTTTCTGCAATATCTTCTTCTTAACCCAGTGCTTCAGCAGGAACCATCTGCTCTTGAGTATCAGATTGAACTTTGAATGTTGGACGATGTTCAGACCAAGGAGCATTGTCTAGAGGGATAACTTCTTCCTTAAGCAGCTTGCTCAGAATTGGAACTTCAATTTCTTTCAGCAGATTGCTGAAGTTCTGTTGATCTTGTCCGTAGCTCTATTCTTGCAACTTAAAAGTTTCAGAGCATACCCATCTTCTGAACTTTGTCCAAAGGTAGTTTGATGCAGCAGGATCAACCAGCTCAAGACTAGCTTGTTTCAGAGAAGTGATCCACTTTTGTACTTCTGTTTCAAACTTCAATATGCTGGTACCAACATCTGGATGTTTTGGTTCTGGGATAGAAGTTTTGTGGTTGATGGCAGCAAGACGTTCAAAAACTGTTAAGTCAATGACCGTCTTGATGTTGTCTTCTGGATTGTTCTTCGCTGAGGGAGTGGGAGAGTCAGGAATTATGATTGGACTTAATGGGGAATTTGGTGGAGTTAATTCTGGTGAAGAGGGAAGTTGGGGAAAATTTACAATGGTTCCAAAGGGCATATGAATGGCTAGAGGTTGTGTGATTCCAGGAATGGGAATGGTATCAGAATCAACAGTTTGATTATGAGGTTCTGGTTCAGGGGTTTCAGAGGGTTGAGTTTCAAAAGTTTGAACTTCTGGATGAAATGGTTCAGGTTGTGGAGAAGGTGGATTAATTTCTGGTTGAGGAGATGAAGGTAGTGGGATTTTTGGTTCTGGAGAGAGGGGAATTTCTGGTTGTGGTGAGATGGGAATTTCTGGTTGTGGTTCTGTGGTGGTTTCAGGATTTGGATTTTCTGGTATGGGAGCAGAAGTATGTTGGTCTATATCAGAAAGAACTTTTGCAAGTTCTTGTTGGGTTTCAACAATATTTGGATTTTGAGGTTGGGAGAGAGATCTTCTAAGAGTTAATGATTCAGAGGGGTCAAAGTCAAGGTCAAAGTCATCAAAAGTTTGTGGTGTGGGGTTTTCAGATTGAGTGGACATTGGGATAGATGTTGATACAACAATTGAATCTAAAACAATTACAGAAGAAAGATTACCTCTCTTTTTAGGAGTCTGCTGGGAGGATCCTTCTGCTACAACTTTCCTTTTCTTGGTTTTCTTTAGCATAACTTCTGGAGCCTTCTGCTGCAGATCTTGAATATTCAGATTTGGTGTTGTACCATCAGCCTTGCAAGCATCCAGATATCTAAGTATTATATCTGGTTTAGAATCAATCTCTGAGAACAGAGGGAAGTTGTCCAGAGGGACTCTTCTGCTGGAGATTGCAGCAAAAGGAGTGACGTTGGGTTCCTTCTTAATGTTCTCAATCAACTTCATCTTCTTCAGATTCTTTGCATTCAACTGTTTGCCAACAGTAGCTTCCAAAGAGCTGATTTCTTGAGCCTCTGTAAGATGATCAATCAGCTTATTCTCTGTTAGAATATCTGATATGAGTCTTCCTAGGGGTATCCAATCCCTTTTTGTTCGTTCCTCTTCTCTTGTTTCCTTAACACTGGTCTTCAGATGGTTAAACATAAGATGAGCCAGATTCACCTTGACCTTCTGAGAGATGAAATAGATCAGAAATTGCTGATCAATATTAATGTAATAAGGAGAGCTGGTAGGCTTCCTGTGGTTTATGCACCCCAGAATGATCTTGGCCCAAATTCTGTGTTGGTCTTTTAAATCCCTTATCTTGCTAGAGGGAAGCCCCAGAGTGAAGATTTCCCTTGCAATTAGGGCAACATCAGCACACCTTTCTGCCATGTCAATGCAACGAACACCACCACCATTGTAGCCTATTAGACATGCAATGAGGTCCTCAGTAATAACAATCTTCTTCCCCGTAATGTATGAAGTAACTTGATGGTTGGAAGATGAAGCGTGAATCCAAAATTCCTTTACCAGAATAGGGAATGTTGGACCCACCAGTCTGTCAAAGTATTTTTCCCAGCCTTGAGCTTTAACCTATTCAGAGAGATTAAACCCATTCTCTTGTAGACTATTGAAATCCATGATCAATTCTGATAGAACCTCTAGATTTTTGATTGGAGTGAGAAGTGTTATGTAGGGTTCTTCGTATTGTTCAGTGGAACCTGTTTTCTGAGAACTTGAAGTAGGAATGTTGGAGGAAGCCATGTTCACACGAAGGTTTTATGAAAAAGATGAAAGGGTTTTGAGAAAGTATGAAGATTGAAATCAGTAAGTTTGAGAGAAAATGAAAGTGAAGGTAAAAGAGTGTAAATGGTGTGAAGTGTGTTTAAATAGATTTCTAAACAATTTTGAAAACATAAACGGCAAGAGAGAGAAATTAATAATGATTATTAGCATTTAATGATAGCTGATTTTAGGGGATTCAGAAAGATATTTGGAACGGTTACCCATGACATGTGTCTCAATGCATCCAATCAGCGCTTTTGCCTTTTCAGAAACGTGAACGCGTGTTCAGCCTCAGAAAATAGCTGATGACTGAATGACACTTGTTTGCTTGAGTGAACAACACATTTCTATCCTTGAAATGAAGCGCTCAGATCTTCATGGATAGTTTCTGATACAATCTGTACTTCTAAAGATCTGAAGAGAGATTGATCAGTAGTTCACAGAAAAATAAACAAAGTTCTGAAGGTTAATATATGGAATTGTTGTACCCCAAAATTTGCCCTCCCATATTCTTCAAGAAATTGCCAAGTCATGCTTCAAAATTCCCCAAGGGTTGCACAGTTCAAGGGCCTCCTAAACAGTCAAAATTAGGGTTTTGGTTCTGACAAAGTAAATGAAGTTTCCAAGGGTTTAATCAAGTCCCACATGCTTATAAACATGGTCAAGCATCCTCATACCAAGTTTCAAGACTCACAGCACAAAATTGCATAGTCAAAGACCATAATTGCACTACAGTCAACTGTAGGGGCAAAATGGTCATTTGACAGTCAAAAGTTCAAATTTTTGGTCAACATCTCATTTTGAAGCCACAAACATCATTT